GCCTTACCTCGGGTGCAGAATTGTTCTCCTCAATTTCGAGAGGCGCGGTAATGCGGATGACCGTCGGCCGCTTCAGTTCTGCTTTAGGGCCGAGCCGCGTCGGTAGCATCCTCAGCGGCCGGCGGGTTGTGCGGCAGCCTTCCCCATCTTGGGGAACTTCAATATCCCGGCCACGCGTGCTGCGGATGAGGGGCGCAAAGCGTGGAAGTACCGCAAGGGCTGCGAAGGATGGAGTTGTAGTAGAGAGAGACGGTACCAGCCTGGCCCCGATGACGATCGATCGGTGCCCACCGTCGGCTAGATAGGTTGCCTTGTTGCTTCCTGCTGTAAGCTGCTTAGAGCCGGGAGGGTTGAAGCAGCACAAAAGCCTTTTAAACGATAAATAAATGAGCCAGGCGTGTTTGGAAACCCTTGGCCGAAGAAAGGGTGGCGGAGGGGTGGCGGGCCCTACCCGGACGGAACAGTAGTTTTATGTGCCCAGATGGAGCCGTAAGACTGCGGAGCTCAACGGGACGTCTGAGCGGTTGTCAGAATGGCGTGCCGTGAAATGAGCTTTTCATCCTAACGTGGTACGTGAATAAGGTCAATCGCGCCAATGCCACCTGCTGAGCCTGACGCCCTCTGTGACTCACAAGTGGCGCGACTGCCACAAGGCAGTCCCCGAAGTGAAAGACGGGTGGCTGAACGGTCCAGCTGCCTAAAGGAATTCGCCAGTGTCCAGACGACGGGGCTTCTGATCCTACAGGTGGTTATCGCCCCTCGTAAAAAAGAATCTCCTCAGCAGAAATGGTGGTGAATGGGCCAGGGAGCAGGGCGCTGCTGTTGCCTTCAGCTTTTGGAGGAAGGCCTTTGCTTCTCAGTGACCTGTTCCTAAAGGTTTTTCTCGGAAGCAAAGTCCACAGGGCTACTTCGGCGGATGGTGCCCCTTTTCTCATAGCTGATGGTACTTATTTCCTGTATTTATAATATTGATATATCTACGTTGTGCCACGTGTCTCAGCGGAGTACCATTAATGCAGAAATTCATTGAAACGGATTAAGGTAAAGCAACCCAACGTGCAGTATAGTTACTACCAAATCAGGGGTCATAAATTGATGTCATAGAACTCCTGTATATTCTCAGATGCTGATTGAATTAAAGGAAAAGCCATCGTGCGCATGCTCGTGCATCCAGTTGTATCCTTTGCTTCTGGGAAAGGGGCACTCCAGGGAGGGGGCTCCCAGCAGAGCAGGGCCTCCTTTGGCCCCAGCCGTAGGATGTGGCCCATCCAGGAAGGCCCTGATGGGTGGCAGCACCTGGGCAGACAGCGAGGGAAGGAAGGAGGCAGCCTCCGAGGCAGAGAAGCAGCCGCCCCCAGCAGAGCAGATGCAGCAGCCATCGGCTCTGCCTCTTGCGGTAATTGGCATTCTGGAGCTTGCAGAAAGGGCGCCCCCCCAGCGGTGTTTGCACGACACCCTAATCCATGTTTTCTTTGTCAGTCTGTCATTGCACGTTGCATCCCCTGTTTTTCCTCCAGGGGATCAGTTAAACCCGCTTTCTCCATCCGGATGACACGCCGTGCCTTCGGCTGGGCTGCCCTCGCCCCCAAACTAGCAGCCCGGTGGCTGGGCTGTTTTGTGGCTTGGGGCGTCATGCAGATAGAGTGGCAACCAAGAAGAGGGGGGGGGGGGCCCCCTTGAGCCCCCTGCAGGGAGAGTAAGTGACCGGCAGGCATTGCAGACCTCCTCCAGGTCTGGCTGCAGGAGCCGGGAGCAGCCTCTCATTGGACCGCTGCCTTCCGTGCCTGCTGGCTGAGAGTGTGCGTCTGTGGGGCTTCGGCTGTTTTTTCCCTGGACCTTCGAATAGGCGCCACAAAATGATGCCATTTTGTTTCAGACAGGTTGTGGGCGTTAAAGGCGCGGTCAAGCCCACAACCGCAAGAGCATGTGGTGGCTTTTGTTTTGTCTGGCTGCGCGCTGGATTTTTCCTCTGCTCCTGACGAAAAGGCCGGAGATTATCTGAGTTCCCCTTTCCTCCTTCATGGATTAGACACGAAGGAGACAAAACGGCCGAGCTGCACTTGCACAGAATTGCAGATTGTTCCATCTTCTGCTGCCCTTTGGGGATTTAATCTCTGGGCTTCGGCTTTATTTTCATTTTGTTAAAGCTTTTATGCTAATCGCTTTTGTGTCCAGACGCTCAGTCTCACAAGGAAGATTCCTGGCCTGCTCGCCTCTTTGTGAATGTGGGATTTTAGGTTAATTTAGGGAGGGCGGTGCTGGGATGGCAGGGGGGGTTGGCCTAGAGATAGTGGATAGGCATTTGGGACACTTGTGACATGGAGAGTCAGCCAGGCATTTTGTGTAGGTTGCCAGAATGTGTTTGGCTTGCTCATAAGGCCAGAATTGGGGGGAGGACTGGAAAAAGGTTGATAATTCACGATCTAGCCATAGAGAACAGCTCCTGACCAAGGGTGGGGGGGGTGCAGTAGGTTTTATATTTGGGGTTTTTATTTCTGTAAGCTGCCTGGAGTCACTGTGAGCTATATAAATTGCATAAATAAATAAATAATCAATCAATCAATCAAGAAGGGGGGCTTGAGTTGGGGTGGTTGACCCCATGCTGATAGAAGGGATGCAGGAGGAAATGGTCTCAAAGCCGTGTCTACTTTTCCAGGCCCAGTCTGCTATGCATCTACATGGCGAGAACCTTTTACAACTGTGGAGCATCAGCGGGCGGGGAGGGTGTCATTCTAACCTGTTTGCATGGACTTGTATAATCCATGGACCTTCCCCTGCCCAGAAGAGCTGTTGCTGCGGCGGCGGCAGCATCTGTGTCTGAGAAGGGTCACTGCTACTTAGTGGGCAGATGGGGGGAACTCCTGCTACAGGTGCCATCTGTGGGCTTTCTCAGTGCTGGTGGTGGTGCTTGCGCTCTGGAATGCTCCCCCTGCCCCTCACGTTTATGAAGTGCCTTTGGCGACGTTTCAGGTCTCCTTGGGCTGGGAACGGAAGAGGAGCTGCGTTCTCCCTCTGCGAGCAAGCAGATGCGGCGGGGTGCTGGGGACACCTTTGGTCGGAGGAAGAGGAGCCTCCGTGTTCGGCAGAGATGAGCCTCATCCTCCCTTCCCCCTACCTGTATGCCCACCCAATTTTATTTCCTGAAAAAAGTCTTGTACTTGGGATTACACCTTCTAGTCCAGGTTGCTAACAGAGAAGCCAGACACAGGGCAGGCGAGGCACCCGCTGAGCCAAAGAGGGGGCTGAAAGCCTGGACGGCACTGGATCTTCTAGCTTGTACTGGCGAGCTGTGGCCTTATGGGTTGGGTGCTTCTCAGGAAACAGTAGACCTTTCATGGACGTTTTAAAGGTGTGTTTGCCTCGGTCAAGATCTTGGGCAATTTGGTTTCCTTTTAACATGCTGCTCCTGCGGTTCAGGTCAGGCAGGTGGGCATTCCTTGCTTCCAGTGCCACCGTTGGCTGTGTCGGGAGGGAAGAAGGCGCGCGCAGGCAGGCAGGCGGGCAGAATAGTCCTTGGGTTTAGCTGACTCCCTGGGATCGCGGGACGGGGTGTGGGGTGCATCTGCTGAACGTTGATGCCGGTGTAGCATGGGGTGGAGATGCCACCACTGCAGCTTGACTTGGCTTTTCCCCCCGTTTCCACAGCGGCTTCCTCTGCCTTACGGCCCTCCCGCCCCTGAGAAGAGAAGAGAAAGGGACCTCTTTCTCTTGCCCTAGAGCTGGGGGAAGAGCAGGCAGGTGGCTGAGCCCAGGCGGGCACGCACACCCATGCCGTCTGCCTTTCCCTGCTGCCTCCTGGGTGCTTGTGGGATTCCTCTGGGCAGCGGCAAGAGCAGCAGCTCTGGGGGCCACCCTTTAATGGCCGGAGGGTGGGCCACCACATCCATTATGCCTGCAGCACGGGGGCTTGACTAGTGTGAAGTGGGTGGAGGAGAGCAGGGTTACGAAGTGAGAATAGGCAGCCCTGGGCATTTTCATGGCCCACTGCGTGAGACTGATCAGCAGCCGAGCAAACAGAACAGGCGATGCACTGTTACTTTACAGAACCCATTGCCACAAGGTGAGGGGATGGTCAGCGACCTGCCTGGCTTTGAAGGGGCTTAAATTGACCAAGGAGAAGAAGCTGAGAGGGTGAGGTGGGACCGTGAGGTGCAGTGGCCTCGCGGCCTCGCGGGTGCCCTTCCTTGTGGAGGGAACTTGGACCTGGAGCCTTTTGCCGGCCCTGGGTGAGAACTGCTAAGGTGGAATCAGATAACAGCCCTTTCTGTTCCATCAGTACATTTTGCTTTCTGGGTATGATGCTTGAGCCAGAGAATGTGCAGCCAAGGTCTAACCAAAGAGCTGTGATCTGACCTGCCCTGGAGCCTGGCGTGCAAGTTAAAAAGTGATTTAAAGAGGTGGACCCCCCCAATTCTCCCTGATCCAGCAGGATTGTCAATCCCTTCTGAAGAAGGAAAGGGGGGGGCTCTTCCTTCTCTCCCCCACTCCCCAATGATAGAACTCAGGGGTGGGGTCTTGTTTTGTAAAATCAACCTGGGAGAAGGATTCTGTAAGCCACCCAGGGGTTTGTAGAAGGCCTAGGCACTCACAGGTGGTGCACGGGAGCAGAGGGGATGCATAAGAAACAGGCCATTTGGTGAGCACCGAACCCAGGATCAACATGCTGGGCTGAAAACTTCTCAACCCGGTGGGCTTTCTAAGCAGGGGGACGCAAGTCAAAAGAATGAGCAGGGACAGCAGGGAAAGTGGTTTCGGAAGTGCCAGGACTCCACGGTCACGAGCAGAAAGAGAGGAGAGGGCTGACCCCCCTTCCCCAATGCCCCCACCTTCTTCACTGAGGATGTCTCCTTCCTTTTGCCCCCAAGTTTTGCTCAGCGGCAAAAGCACGATTGTCCAAGCATTTGGTTCTGACGCATGGTGACCAATGAATGTGCATACACACAGTGATTGTGCCCAGATGGGAAAACACGGGGATCCTATTTCTGAAAAGCAAGAGTTGGACCCCGTTTACTGCCAGGTCAGCGGGCGTCCAGTGCTGCTCAGGATAGCTAGCACACTGTTGGCTTTTCACGTGTATGGGGAAGGCGCCCTGCGGGGCTGCAGCTCTGTCAAGAACAGTTGCCTGTGGATTGGCCTGTCATTACCTGGGGTGCGACTGGCTAGGCTGCTTCTCAGCAAACTTAAAGCGGTCGCGCAAACTTTGACCAGACGTGACTTTCATGTCGTCTTTCCTCTACGTCGATGTGAACTTCATAGGCGGAACTGAGGTTTTGCAAGAAACAAAAGCGACCCTCCGTGCGTGGTAAATCCAGGATTCACCTACATCGTTAGGTTCCAAATTGTTGGTATATAGTTTAACATTGTTATTTCTCTTCCTGGTACCATACACGCTCAACCGTACAAAAGGAAAGTAGGATGAGCCCTGAGCACGTGTGTCGCCGTCCTCGCTGGCATTCTGTGCTTCTGGCGCATTGAAGTTGATCTCCAGAACTCCCTAAACATGTCTTGAGGCGTCCACTGCTTAAAACTTTCATTGAAATAAAATCATCTAAAGATGAAATAGTACATATTTAACGTTCTTTAAAATTCTAATCGTTGATTTATTAACGCAGAGTATTCCAAGTCCTCGTTCTCCTTGTCACTATCAATCTTCAGGATACTTTTTGCTTTCCTGTAAAAATTAAAGGAGGCTGAGAGTTTTCCAGACCTTTTTCCAGTGATAGTAGTCTAGGAGTCTGGCATGCTGCAAAGCAACTCTGTTATATACACCTGTTTATAATGATTGCGCATATTAACTTTTGGGTTTTGTTTTGTTTTTTTTGCTTTTTTCACCTCCCTCTTTAGCAAAGCTGTACAATCTAAAGTGGACTGCATTTTGGTAAGTAAAAGCTGGAAAGGGGGCGTTTCTAGTTGGGGCTGTGTAGCTAGGGTCTTTCAGCAAGTCCTGAACTCTGCCCTGAGTCGTCGTGCCCAGGGGCTGGGGACTTCAGGGAGGGTTTCTGGTTTTGCTCCTTGGGGCTTCTCAGGCAGCTGCTCTGACAGACAGGGTGGTACAGATTGAAAGACGCTTCTCCGCTGAGCCTGTGGGTTGCTTTGACGTATAAGCTGCTTGAGAGCTTCCAGACAGCAACGCCCCACATCTCTGTGGGGCAGGAGGAGGAGGGTTCCCCGAAAGGCCCAGGAAAAGACCCCGTAGAAGCAGGAGCGGCTTTTGAGCGCTGGCGTGCAGGCGGTGACCACTCTCCCTCTGCCTTCAGCAAGAAGTTGAGAAGTTTACAGACTTACAGAAACTCTACCTCTACCTTCAGCTGCCTTCCGGTCCCAGCAATGGCGAGAAAAGGTAGGGAGGCATCTTTCCCGGGGCCTTCGGCGGGCAGCTTCCCCATCCCCGCCCTGTCGCTCTGCGGCCCCGGCCAGGCCGTGCCAGTGGGCTTCCTCTGGCACTGGGGATGCGGGGTGACTTGGCGCGGGGCCTTCGTGTGGAGCCTTTGTCGGGTTGCCTTCTTGGAGCCGGGTTTGTGTGTGGCGATAGAGCGAGACCAGCTTCCCAAAGAAACGGGCGAGTGTCGTGACACCTTGAGCCCCGCAAGAGGGTCTTCTGGGAAGAGCCATGCGTTTCCCTTTGGCTGCTCAGACAGACCCCAGAAGAGGACCTCCTTCCCTCTCCCCCGAGCTGTGCTAACCCTGCAGGAGGAGGCTTTTTCCTTGCCTTGGTTGCCTCCAGGCCCTGCCCCCCATTTCCTTGCCTGCCTGGTCTGTCCCTGCGGGGTGGGGTCGCTCGTTCCATTGCTTCCTTTTTGGTTTCTTGGAAGGGCGGGTGGACAGGTGCCCCAGGCCTTGCCCTTGTCCTTGGGAGCCTTGATTGTCCCTTCGGTGCCACTGCTTCCCAGAGACCGCAAATTCATCACTGCTTCATGCGGAGGCTCTCTTTAGTCTGGGAAAACCCAGAGCCTGGCAGCCTGCGTGCTTTGGGGCCCAGGGCCTGCCCCTCTTCCTCGGAGGCCCGGCACTTGTACATATCTCACGGCCCTGCTTACCAGGAGGCAGATCAGAAAGGTGCCTTTCTGAGCCTGTGGCAGGGGTTCCACGGGAGGCAGAAGTGTTCGAGGGCCCCCGTCACAAATCATCCCTGAAACCGGCCTTCTCTCGGGCTCAGGCGGGAAGGGCAGGCAGCTGCCTTCCTCACTGGGACTGGGGGGCATCTGGGAGCTTGGGGGGTGGCGCTGGTGATGACATCACAGTTCCCATGCCTGAACCCCCGTCTCCTTGCTGCAGCGATCAGCTGTCGGTGTCCTCCAGCCGCGCTCAACAGGTGCACGCCCTTTCCTGGATCCGGAACACCTTGGAGGAGCACCCGGAGACCTCGCTTCCAAAGCAGGAAGTGTATGACGAGTACAAGTGAGTCTTTCAAGACATTGTGGGTCCTCTCCCTGGTCAGGGAAGGTGTCAACAAGAGGCCAGCTGGCTGCTCTCTGCCCCTGCTCTCACCAGCGCCCTGCGGGCCTGATGCCCTTCAGCTCTGCGCAACTAGGCCTTGTGCTGCTTCCCTCTCCCTGGCTCTGTCACCCTGCTCAAAGATGCTGCTGAACACAACAGCGCGTGTTCCTCAGACTGGCATTGTCTCTGTGCCACCTGGTGCCACTGAAGGCAAAGCCGCTGCCTCTGGTCCCAGCTTTGGGGCAGTCAACTCATTTGGACTGAATCCTGCCCCTCCCCACCATCAGCTACCGAAGGGAGTCTGAAGGGGTCCCATTTCATTCCCTAGATGCATTTTTTTTACCTGGCCATCGTAGGAGTGCTCACCCCCAAGGCTGAGGTGGTGGCTCCTCTGCTCGGTAGGGAAGCAGCAGCCACCCCGCTGACCCTGAGGGGTGGCCATCTGGGCAGGTCCCGGCTTGAAGTCTGAGGAAGTAGAGAGCCAAGGGAGGAGATGGAGTCAGCCTGCATGTGGCTGGGGCCTCCTTTCAGACACCCGGCAGGGCGCAACCTGAGCTTGCAGTCTGTTGAGAGCAGCAGTTCCCACCAGCCGTGCTGACGTGCTGAAACTCCAGCCCCCTTTGCTGTGGCTTCTGCAGCGATTGGGCCTTGCTGGGCTGCTGAGAAGCCACCCCCGAGTAGGGGCCCGGGCTGGGCGGCCAGGCTCTCGGCAAAGGGCCTGGGGAGCCGGGGGCTGTCCAAGGGCTGAGATGGGCTTTGTGGTGCCAGTTCCCCTCCCTTGCCAAGGCAGCATTTCAGCTCTGCCGATTAACTCCAGCATGGAGGGCCCATGGAGGCTCCCCGCGGCCAATGTGGAGGCCTTCTGCTCTTTCTTTTTGGACAAGCAGGGCAGGAGTTCCAGCTCACCGTACTCCTGCGGTGGCATGTTGCCTCCCTTTGGCTTGGGCTGCTGTTCCTGCCCCCCTACAGTCCGTGGGTCAGGATCAAAAAAGTGTGCTCGGAAGGGCAGGCTTCACCCAAAACACAGAGGTGGGGTCGCCTTGTCTTTCCTAGATGGCCGTTGAGGCCCAGGATATTCCCTTCTCCTGGGGAGGACTCGGGGCTGTCGGCCATGCAGCAAGAGCCTCCTCTACACTGGGTTCCTGGCATTCTAAAGCAAGAGGGGAAGCTGGGCAGGCAGGTTGACCCAATAACTTCCTTCCACGGTTGAGAGCCTTGGTAGGGTTGGTGAGGCACTCCTGGAAACAAGGACCAGGGGTGGGATCCTTGTCTATCTTCCTCCCGTTCTGGACTCTTCCTGCTGGAAAGATGGGAGGGTATGGCAAGAGAAGGAGCTTGGGGATTTGATTACCACCTGATCCCGGGCACTTCTCCAGCAGAAGGGACAGCGGGTGAGGGGAGCTGCCTGTGTGGCAGGCCAGAGGAACCAAGTCTCTCCCTGTTCCTGGGACTGTCAGGGCCACCCCTCTTTCCTGTGGAGCCTCCAGATCTTGCAGCGTCTCGGCCTGTTTGCTTGTCGGGAGCTGTTCTCCCAGCCCCCACCGAGCTGGGCATCAGCCTTATGTTGGTATCAGAGCCTGGCCCCGCCATTTGCAGGAGAGTGCGCGGCCCCTCCCAGAGTCCTCAGCCCTGCCGTGGTCTCCCTGTTCTCACATTGACTTGCCTTTTGTTTCAGGAGCTACTGTGACAATCTTGGTTACCATCCTCTCAGTGCCGCAGACTTTGGGAAGATCATGAAAAATGTGTTTCCCAATATGAAGGCTCGTCGCCTGGGCACGCGAGGCAAATCTAAATATCCTTTGTGGAATAGCTTTGAGGTGTCTCTGGGCCTGTCCTGCTGGTTTCCGTGGCCGTGTGGACTTTCTTTGTTGTTCAGTCGTTAGTCGTGTCTGACTCTTCGTGACCCCGTGAACTGCATCGCGCCCGGCCTCCCTGTCCTTCGCTGCCTCCTGGGGTTTGCTCAGTTTCACACTCGCTCCTTCGGTGATGCTCTCTAGCCATCTCACTCTCTGCCGTCCCCTTCTCCTTTCGCCTTCCCTCTTTCCCAGCATCCGGGTCTCTTCCAAAGAGTCCTCTCTTCGCATTTGGTGGCCAAAGTATCTGAGCTTGAGCTTCATTATCAATCTTTCCAATGAGCAATCAAGGTTGATTTCCTTTAAGACTGACTGGTTTGCTTCGGTATAAAAAGCATCTTGCGCTGTTTGAATTGGAGGATATTTCCACCTTAACTTTTAAAATCACGTATTGCTATAGTGGACTTCGGAAGAAAGCACTTGTGCAGATGCCATCGCTCCCTAATCTGGATTTCCATAAAACTGGAGATGGGGTAAGCTCTACACCTGCGTAACAGTTCTACCTGCAAGCTGTGTGCCATTTCCTGCGCATTAACCAAGCAGAAGGTTGGCCCATGTAACGGGCCCAAGGAATAACCGTGAGGAGCAGGAGGAAGAGCCGCAGCCGAGGCAGTGGTCAGAGACCAGAAGTCTGAGTCGGGGGCAGAACCGCAATCAGAGGAGGCGTCTCAGACGAGACCCTCCCTAGTTCTCGGGAAGATAAAGGGAGGGAGGGGGAGGCGCATTCAGGCTTGCAAGATCCTGTTTCTGTAACCTTGTAATAAAGGTCGTATTAGCCCGCATGGCTTTGGTTTCCTAGTCGGGTCTGCCTCGAGGGGCCTCTTAGTAGCATAAAGATCTTTAACTAGAGCTGACAGAGCAACATTTCACAACATAAACTCATACTGTGCTGGCAGTTTTGGTGTTTTGAATTCTTCAATAAGAGGTTTCATTGTGATGATTCTGAAAGAAGAGAAGGGAAACCTTGAGAAGCAGCTGGATGTGTGTGTGAGAGGGGGGCAAACTCTATAAAATAAGAATTTTTGCTAAGTTTTGCCTTGATTCATTTGGCATACAACTGCAGGGCTGCATCTGGGAATTATTCCTGCACTTAGATGCCTTTAATAAGGAGGCTCGGTTTATAGAAAACACCTTTTGAGATTTTGGGGCTGTACAACTACGCAGCGTGACAAAGCGTATTTTTGCAGTATATGTTTGCATCTTACACAAACGCAGAGGTATCTTCTCATGTCTATGGATAGCAGCTCTAATTGCAGACAATAATTTTTTAAAAAGAGAAATTGAGTTTCCATAAAAGTTTTATTGAAATAATGAATCTGGTCTCCATTCCCTTGGTCAAAAAACCTGACTAAACTGAGGGCTGAGATTCTTACCAGGCAAAGGACTTTTTCACAGTTTTTATGACAAGGCCTGAAACCATGTCTGTGTTAAACCTCTTCTTCCGTGGGTGAGGGGAGTAGATCACGGGGTCTGGCGGCTCTTTCTTCTTCCGTCATCACGGTGACGGATGCGTCAGAGATGGAGAAGAGCAGCTGGGCAGGGCAGGCGGCTGCACGAGCCTCAGTCCTTCCCTGTGCTTCGGTTTCAGCTGGACGGCGCAGAGCCTCCTGGGCGCCTGCAGAGTGCTGATGAAGAGATTGTGTCGGCTGCCTGCCAGCTGGTCTGTGAGTGGGCTCAGAAGGTGCTCAGCCAGCCCTTCGACTCTGTCCTGGACCTGGCCCGCTTCCTGGTCAAAAGCCACTACACGGGCACCAAATCCATGGCAGCTTTGGCTGTGATGGCGGGCGCCCCTGCAGGTAAGCCGTGGGGGCTCCTGAGGGGCATTAGGAGGGGCTGCTTCTCTGGAGGAAGCTTTGCTCCTCCTTTGGGGAGGGGGCAGTCTCACCCTGCCATTGAGGAAGGCACTTTGAACCCAGCAGACCGAGGGGGGGATCTGCCAGGCAGCCATCGTGGCTGGTGGTCTGGGCAAAGATGGGGAGGCGGGGCGGGGCTGCATATTCCTCTTCTCCCCGTGTAAAAGAACAGCTGGCCCTCCCTGCTCCATAAAGGTTGGGCAGAGGAGGGGCTCCTTTGAAGAGCTACCCTGAAGCTCTAGCTCTCCGCACGATACACAGAAGTGCCCAGTTCCTAAAATGACCGGTCTGCGCCAAGCCTTGCCCCTGGTCAAGCACCTGCGTGGCCCTTTCAGGACTCAAGGGGATCCCCCAGCCCTCGGCGTTTGTTCCAACGGCAGAGAGCAACTCCTTCCAGCCCCAGGTGAAAACGCTGCCTTCGCCTGTGGACGCCAAGCAGCAGCTGCAGCGCAAGATCCAGAAGAAGCAGCAGGAGCAGAAACTGCAGTCTCCTTTGCCAGGCGAGTCCCCAGCCAAGAAGGCTGAGGGCACGACAAGCAACGGGATTGCCAGCCTTCCGAACGGGAGCCCGGCCATCCTGTCCCCTCAACCCATCGGCATTGTGGTGGCTGCTGTGCCGAGCCCTATCACGGTAAGTCTCCAGAGGAGCCCTGGGCTTCTGCCGCGGGCAGCTGGATGGCACCGCCCAGAGAGCTCGTGTTGCGGGGGAGGGGGTCGGGAGGGATTTCCGGCCAGCGGCGATGAACGGCAGGACAGAGCCAGTAGGAAGAGACCCACTGAGGGGTGACTCTGGCACGAGGTGTGCAGGGAACGTGGGAGTTCAGCTTTGGGGAAGGAAGCAGCATTCCATGGTTTGGGGAGACGTTCAGTGAGGCTGGAGCGGCTCCAGAGGAGCTGGAAGTAAGTTGAGGCAGTGGGAGCCAGGAAACGGGAGGGTGAAGGGAGATGGGTGGTAGATGGGAAGGAGAAGTCTGGGAGACTGAGTTGGAGAACATGGGGACCTCTGTTCCCAGGAAGAAGCCAAACCAGCCTGCTCAGGGTGGAGCCTTTGCGTTCTCTTCCTCGCTGCCACTCCTTTTTCTCCTCAACAGGTGCCAAGGTCCCGGCAGTTGGTAACGTCTCCTAGTCCAATTGGCTCATCCGATGGCAAAGTCCTTCCACTCAACGTCCAGGTGGTCACTCAGCACATGCAGTCCGTCAAGCAGTCGCCAAAGACTCCCCAGAACGTTCCGGCCAGTCCCGTGGGAGACCGTTCTGCTCGCCACCGCTACCCCCAGATCCTGCCAAAGCCAGCCAACACCAGCGCGCTCACCATACGCTCCCCCACAACCGTGCTCTTCACAAGCAGCCCAATCAAGACTGTGGTTCCTGCTCAGCACATGAACGTGGTCAAAATGACCGCGATATCACTTGCCCCGAGCAGCGCCGGCGGCACACCCATCAAACCCCCGGCCTCGGCCGTTAGCTCGGGAGCCGCTGAGGAGTCGAGGAGCGTGCCTCAGATCAAGAACGGATCTGTTGTTTCACTGCAGTCCCCGGGAACCAAAGCAAGTGGTGGAGGGCTAGCTGCCCCCCCCTCATCAGTCGAGGTCAAACTGGAGCCGGAATCGGTCCTGGATGAGAGCCTGCGGCAGAACCAGCACCATTCAGACCCTGCTGCTGTGGTCAGGGTGGCCCTCCTGGCACCTGCAGATCAGCCGAGGGCTGCGGAAACAGAGCCCTGGAAAGGTCGGGCAGAGGAGCGCCTTGGAGCAGCAAGCTGTGACCCCCTGGGGGAAGATTCGGGGAGGAAACCCCTTTCTCAGCCTCACGAATCCCCCCCGGATCCCTCGGAGGCTGCTCAGCACGCCTCCAGCACCAGCATCGCCACCTCGCCTCCTGCGGGTGACCAGGGGTGCGCCAAAGGCCTGAGGAAGAGGCTCCCTTCTGCCTTTGTGGACTCCCAGGGCCCCCCGATCAAAAAGCTTTCTGTGGGACAGGCATCTGCAGAAGCCCCCAAGGCCAGTGGCGCTAAGAAGGCTCAGCAGAGGAGCGGGCTGCCTCTCCCTAAAAGCGATAGTCCAGCTGCCCTTCTCCAAGGGCCCAGCAAGGTGACGATCCAGGTCCATTCTGTGGCCTCAGGGGGCGGCCTGGTGACCTCCTGCCCTCTGGACGCCGACCTTGTCATTGCCTCCAGCGACCCCCTGTTGGAGCAGCAACCGGCAGCCTCGTCGGCAGGGGTTGAAATGAAGCTGGAAGGAAATGTCTTTGTCCTCGAAAACAGCCCTAAGCCCGACAGCAGCTTTAACCCCAACGTGTGGCAGCAGCTGGCCAAGAGCTCCAGCTTCGGCCCCGAGACCTGCAAGCCGCAGCCGCAGATAAGTGTTATGACGCTGGCCGGGCCCTCTGACTCCGAGGACTTGCCCAAGTCCGCCTGGGAACCAGTGCACTTTGAAGGGTTTCAGCAGGCGGCGGCGGCGGCGTTCAGCCAGCAGTTGCCGGATCAGGGCCAGCAGCCCTCCCTGGAGCAGCATCTGCCAGGCCAGAGCTCTCGCCAGCTGCCCCTGCAGCAGGAGCTGAAGGAGTTTGAGGACGCCGCCTCCCAGTCCCACGAGAACTTCTTTTCCTTTGATGATGACCTGACCCAGGACAGCATTGTGGAGGAGCTGGTGCTGATGGAGGAGCAGATGTCCCTGAACACTTCTCACCTGTACAGCACTTCCCTGGGGATGGCTCTCCAGAATCAGGGGACAGCTCAGGTGGCACCCTTGGCCCCTCACTCGAGCAGCGCCCACTTCTATCACCCAATCCACAGCAACGGCACTCCTGTTCACACGCCCACGCCTACCCCGACACCCACCCCGACGCCCACTCCGACCTCTGAAATCATGGCGGGATCGCAAGGCGTGTCGCGGGAGAGTCCATGCTCCAGGATGGCTCAGACAACGCCTGTCGACAGCGCACTGGGGAGCAGCCGGCACACGCCCGTCGGCACGCCGCACTCCAACTGCAGCAGCAGCGTGCCCCCAAGCCCTGTGGAGTGTAGGAACCCCTTTGCCTTCACCCCAATTAGCGCCAGTATGGCCTACCACGATGCCAGCGTCGTTTCAAGCAGTCCCGTGAAGCCCATGCAGCGGCCAACGGCTACCCACCCTGATAAAACCAAACTCGAATGGATGAACGCCGGGTATGGTAGCGTGGGTAACTCCTCGGTCACCAGCCACGGGATTCTGCCAAGCTACCAGGAGTCAGTGGAAGACCGTTTCCGGAAGCCTCACGCCTTTGCCGTTCCTGGCCAGTCCTACCAGTCTCAGTCGCGGCACCACGATTCCCATTTTGGGCGCGTGACCCCTGTCTCCCCCGTCGGCAACAAGCAAGAAGGTTTTGCTGTCCCTGCTCCTCTCGATAACAAAGGGACGAGTTCCTCCCACGGCAGCCATTTCAGATGCCGGAGCGTCAGTCCCGCCGTTCACCGCCAGCGCAACCTCAGCGGAAGCACCGTCTGCCCCGTGGCTGCTGTGCTTCGCTCTGGAACGACGGTGGCCCCTTTTGGGAGCCCTGTCGCTCCAGAAGCGCACAACCCGTTGGCGAACGTCCACGCAGACACGAGCGCCAGCAACCTTGCCCAGAGGAGCCAGTCGGTCCCCCTGACAGTCATGATGGAGACCGCGTTTCCCCCACCCCAGAAGCAGGCCAGCTCCAAGAAGATCACCAGCGTCCTGCTGAACAAGCTTGATTCTGAGAACGATGACGCTGTGAGGGGGCTGGGCGTCAACAACAGGCCCTCCAATTACACCGCCAGGATGAACCTGACTCAGATTTTAGAGACTTCCGCTGCGTTTCCAAGTGCCAGTGCGCAGAGCATGCTCCCGTCCAGCCCGTCGGTTTTTGAATTCCAAACACCAGGTTACCTCGCCAAAAACAGCAGCCCCGATCCGGTGAACTTTGCTTCTGGAGACAGTGCGGCACAGTCGGAGGCCGGAGAGCAGCAGTTGGATTTCAGCGGCACCGTGAAGGAGCTTTTGGAGGAGAGCACCCTGCAGGTGGGCCAGGTGCCTCCCGACTTGAGCAGCGTGGCCTCGGTCTTCTCCAGCGACATGAGGCTGGCTTCGGAGCTCTCGGGGAGCATGAACGATCTGAACGCTTTGGACACAAATCTGCTCTTTGACCCGGCTCACCAGCAGAGCCAAGATGACGAGGCAACACTGGAAGAGTTAAAGAACGACCCCTTGTTCCAACAGATCTGCAACGAGTCCATCAATTCTATGACTTCGGCAGGTTTTGATTGGATGGAGAGTAAGGACCATCCTGCTGTTGAAATGTTGGGTTAAGAAAAGTGTGTGCGCGCGCGTGTGTGTGTATCTCTGTGTGTGTGTGTGTACACACATACACGCTTGTGTGTGAGTGTATATATATGTGTGTATATATGTGTGTGTATATATGTGTGTGTATATATATATACACACGCACACACGTGTGTGTGTGTATAAAATCTATGTAGCACACTGTATTTAAAAAAATCTAAAGACAAGACATACTGTATTTGTCTTAATGGAAGTGCCTCCTGCAGCAGAAACAAAATTTGTGAGATTTTTTTAAAAAAAAATTGCTCTACCAGCTGCTTTATTCTTCAGCAGGGTGTATACAATCTTAACCAATTTTTAAGACATTTCTGAAGGATGCAGCCTGCTCGAGCCAGTATTAGGTTTTGAAATTTTGCTTGCTGAAAAAGATTGCTTGCTGCCTCCAAAGGATAAAAGAGCATTTGGGGGAGGGTATCGAGAGCGTAGGAAGCTCCTCGGACAAACGGAAGGGAGTGTTTGCCACCCAGTCTCCCCCCCATCTGCTCTGCAGGGCGTTCCATTTGGCATTAGGATTTCTGGCTTACCAGACAGGTACTGTTGAAATTTGGAGGTTACACAGCAGATAGGGTGTGTGGGTGGGTGGCATTATGCTGTCCAATTGAAGGGTGTCTCTGCACTCTGCATGCGTAAAGATTGTGTGCATTTGCTGGCACGCTTGCCACACTAGAGAGAGCAAACATCCTGATAACAAATACAGATATACCCGCAAAATGAATGGAGAAAAGGAATTGGGGGCCAGCGTTCCTGGGGCACCTACCTGTACAGGTTGCTAGATCAGGGGATGTTCTCCAATTTGCTGTTTCCAGATGATTGTGGACTTGGCATCCCCCCCCCCCCCCCCCAGTTTTTGCTGCTGCCTGGGGAGTTGCCCTGGTGGTGTGGCCTCACTGGCCAGTTGATAGGGAAAGCCAGCATGGCTTTGCCGAGAGAGAGAGAGAGAAGCCACACGAGTAGATGGAGGGGGGAAATCAGCACAGCATTACTACAATATTAAATCCTTATCAAGGGCTGAAAGAGGAGCAGGAGGGACCGCTTTCAAGAAGGAGAAGCAGCACTAACCTTTTATCCCAAATGAGAAACTTACTCTTTGCCACAAGTTGGTTCATATGCTCGTATTAAGAAAACATCAGAATGTTTTAAAAGAAAACAATTTAATGCTGCTTTCCCTCGATTAGGGAAGACTAATTCCCAACCCTGCAGTTTAATAAATCTGTTCCTTTCCGTGGCAACTCTACCCTATAATGTTTGTCAGGATGTGTAGTTCTTTTTGTTCACATAAAAAACTAGAATGCTAGAATGACCAGTGATGCGGGTTTCCCTAATTCACAGTCTTTTGAGAAAAAACATTTTTGTGCAGAAACTAGTTAGTGTTTCCAGATTTACCCAACTGGCCAGTTCTTTCTTGACAAAGTGATAGAAAGTAAGAGGAACCTTGTTAACGCTTGAAGGTGAATTTTCAAGGCCTCCCGGGGTGGGAAGTATCCAAGTCTGCCACGGCTGAGCCCGGCTCCTCCCGGCACCCATAGGGAAGCAGAGGCGCTGCTGGCGCTGAGTTCCCAGGGGGCTGTTGCTGCCAGGCAGGTGGCAGCCTCATGGGCACCGCTGCACTAGCGCTGCTCTTGTGTGGGTTCCCTTCCCTTCCCTTCCCTTCCCCTTCCCTTCCCTTCCCTTCCCTTCCCTTCCCTTCCCTCCCCGCCAGCTCCGGTCCTCTTGCACAACTCCAGTGAAGGCAGAGTGGCCGTGTCTTGCTGGGGGGAGGAGCAGCGCAGGCAAAGGGTGGGCAGGCGAGCTGCATGGAGGAACCTGCACGCAGGCTGCTTTCCCTCTGCTGCCCAAGGTGCTCCCGCCCTCTTGCGGGCCAGGGTGCCTTACGCTGTGCACGTTAGGCGTTGCCGCTGCCTTACTCCCTAGCCAGCCTCCTCCAGGGCAGCCCTGGGAGGAGGGAAAGGGGGGCGCTTTCAGAGGAGTATGCTGGCAGAGCTCTGGCGGGGCAGCCCTGGGGGCCGGCACTTGGCTTAAAAGAAGATCTGCCTCGCCAAGGTCTTTAAGGTGGTGTTTCCGCAGAAGTTTCCTGAAGCATCTGCAGCCGTAAGGACCTGGTCCTGTAAAAGCACACACAATGGCGCCAGGACCAGTTGTTTCTATGTAGGCATCATGCTCAGCAAGGAGGGAAGGACACCCAGGTGATGGTGACCCACACTGATGGGCTTCCGCTGATTGTCCTTGCAGAGAGCTTGACTCCCCCCTCCCTACTAAGGTAGTGTGTGTGTGGGGTGGTTCTATGGGGTATGCAGGGGTAGAACTGCTGAGGTGCTGGGTGCAAGCAGCCCCAAGGCCCAGAGGACCTCGGGCTTCCTGCCGGTCAAAAGGCTGGTGCCCAAACTGGGCACTTGGCAGGGCCCAGGCTCCGCCTCAGAGAGAGTCCATTCTGGAACCGAAGTCTCCTTTCCGGCAAGAGCTGGTGTTTTGCTCCTGCTTATGGCACCGTGGCGGTGCCGTTGAACCCCGGTCGGCTCTTTAGGCACCGACCAAGCGCCCCTGGCAGGGGAGCGGCTAGGTTTG